ATACCGTGTGAACCATCAAATGGAACAAATGTGGAGGGTATTCGTAATCTGATAAGGCCCTAGTGAGTGAAGAGAGGCATCCGATTACCTTGAAAACGAGTCTTATTCCATCAACGAAGATGGTGTGCATCTACATACAGAAGAGCAAGGAGACTTTTATCATCCAGAGCAAGCGGGGAGGTGTGTTATTTTATCGCTATTCTAAGTTAACAGTAGAGGTGATAACCATAATTCTTTATTTGTAAAACATCGTAATTTTTAGGAGCATCTTGCTCTAAGATTTTTGAGCCTAAATTGATGTCATGCATTTGGGAAAACATTAGACACTGTATTATAAACTCCTTTATTTTCAATGCACCTTTTAGAAGATTTGACACTCAAGTATTTCAGGATGAGAAAGGCGAAGAATTGCAGTGATATTTTCAAATGCGTTTTCTTTTACTATAGGATAGTATTGGTTGTTTCCACTTCTACTTTGAATGTTAAAGATTTGTTTGAATTTATCAAAATGAAGACATTGTTTGCTACGGAAAAAGAGGTTGAAATTTGGTGTATCGGAGTTCGAGAGACTTCACGTTGTGTAAAGGATCTTTTCTAGTCCGCTAAAAGGGAACAAAATCTTACATTATCTTTGGCTTGCATAGACAAAATACCGTTTGAAACTACTAATAAGTGTTAAAAGCTTTATTCAGGTCTACTGTGTGCTAGGTGTTGGAAACAAAAATTTTTTTGGTTATTTTGGCCTAAATTCAACAGGCAGAAGTCCAAGATCCTAAAAAATTTTCTTTTTGTTCGTGCGACCTTTTCCTCTCAAGAAATGTCTATTCCCTACCCACTTATAAACAAGCAACTTACGGTTACGGTTTGAGTGCATGCGGGTTGCGCATTTTCCTATTTGCACTGTTATAACCAAGTGATCCAGTTTTTTCACTGTCACCAGTCTACTTGCATTTATCACGACTGTTTTGATAAACAACTTTACATCCAGTCACATATGCGAAAATAAGCTTTAGAGCCGTCACAAGTAGCAGGAACTTGTGTAAGGATTTTTGTTGCAAAGTTTTCTGAGGGTGAGGTAAGAAGGCAATGTCACTCAAATCCATTATTCCAGGACAATTCACCACTAGCCTATAATCGAAGTCGTTGTTCATCTTAGCAAACTTAAAACAAGAAATAGGAAGGTCGTTCATAAAAGTTGACTAAAGAATGGAGTGCAAAGAAATTCCACCATGAAGTCCACTTTATCTTTGTTGATGATGGCCGTCACTATAAATTTTCATGTCTTCTAACATACCAGTTATGCAGAAATGGGGCAATATGCACGAATAAGGGCGTAGCCAGGAGCACAGGATTTGTAATGTCGAAGTCGATAAAGACGTTTGTAAATAATTTACAGATGCATTAAGGGGTTGTTAGGAGAGAGATTTTATAGGCAGTCAGGTAGAGAGACAGGGGGGTTAGTAGTAGACGTTAACGTATATTTAGTGGCTAGAGGAAGCCTATTACGAAAATTAGCACAACCTCGTCCAAGAATCTAAAGGAAAAATTATTTGGACATTTACACGCATTTGTCAGGCTTTAGTTAATTTCTCATGACATTCACATCACCAGCCCCAACTACTAATGTTTCTGTAGTGCCATCGAAGATGTGACTCCTACGGTTTCATTGCAAGACACGTAGGGGTTGTGCAGTGAGGACGTGTGAAGAGGATGTTGTGTACTTTAGGTATGTTCAATGGTTGCGGTAGTGATGGACTCAAAATCATATTGCTGGGATTCTCGCCGATGTTAATTAAGTAATCTTTAGTAGACGATCCAACCAAATAACGCATTTTACTGTCTATTTTACAAAAAATGTATTGAGTCAAAGGCGTAGAGGCGTGGTTACGTCAAACGATCATTGGCGATGCCATTCATAGCGAGTGCCGACTAGAAACCCGCCACCTGCATGCGGACTAAAGGAAGTGGACCAATGATCATTTAAGAGGACAGATACTGACACCACCTCACTGCAAAGGTTAAAAGAAACCGTAGGGGAACACAAAACAAATAGTTGACTAATTATTAATAGAGCCTAAATCGCCAACTCATTTAAGATAAAACCGAACTTAATCCCATCCACAAGTTATTTGCCTTATTTTGAGTTTCTCCATCTTCCTCCCTTTCTTCAGTCTTGTCTCACTTCATACACCTCACCATATACATTTGAGGCGTTTCACACTCCTAGTAAAACAAATAATCGGCTAAACGTGGTCCTAAAATTACCCTAGTAGCATTCACCTACTTGGAACTGCATAATACTTTTAACTACTTAATGCTCCCATCTCTAGTTCCTTTTTATCTTTTGAGGATGTTAGCTGCCGATGAAGAAAACATATACACTCCACCACTCAGTTGAGATAGGCCTCGTAGCAGTGACAGCACGAACCGCTGACGGCAGTGTGACTTCTGCAATGGCGTCGGTCATGGTGATCAAATGACCATTAACAGGCCGGACATGCGAAGCGAATAAAAATAAAGGTGAAAAAGAGGATGCTTCACATCTTAGAGAGAACATGATCTACGAGAAGTTGACAATAATGGTGTCTCTTTCTATTATAATAAAAACAGCATGAACAACTTCTAGACGGTAAAATTAATATACTACTAATTAGTAGTATTGTTGGGGAAGTTATTGCAATGGAGGAAAGAGATACCAATTATTTGAAATTCGTAATCGGTTCATGTAAGGACGGTGCATAACTTTATCACTTGTATTTACTTCCACCTCCTCAGTTTTCCCTTCAAGTTTCCGAAAACAGTACATCCGCCTCACTTTCTGAACCAAGAAGATGTTAGACAGAAAAGAGGAGATAAAGATTTCTCAGACGGAACGTAATGTGAAGCATTGATGTCTATTAACAGAACGCATTAATTACCAAGTGAGAGAGTGAGGTAGTAGGTTTGGAGACCGATATACACCCTTAATTAATAACTGGCCATCCTTTCGTCGTGCATCTCCTCTTCTTGCCACTTTTATTGGTACAACTGTTTGGGAAATATGAGCCAATTCAACCCTTAAACAAGTCGCCCGGTGTTTGTTTGAGGTGAGGCCTCGTGATCTCCTTTCCGAGATTTCCGACTACTTGGTACGTTGGTAGAGGTTGTCATTGCCTAGCCATGACTGCAACCCTGGTCTACCTCATGGCCAGGTGGGAAAACTAGTCGAGCAAGACGGTCAGTTTGAGCAAAACCAACCGGCAAACAGCAGGTCCGCACCAATGGCTGACGCAAACGTCGTGCAAAGTCATAAGGGAAATGGTCAAAACATTCCAAGGGCAGAGGATGAGGTTATCAAAAGACGAATGATGGAACAATCGTCTTACTGTCAATATGAATGTTTGCGGGACAAAAGGACGTTCTGTGGTTAGCAATGTAAAAAATCATGTAGTCATCCATATCAAGATATTTATGCGGCATCGTTAAGGATGCTGCGTGGGTGGCTTCCAGCCCACTCTCACCACTAAGAATGCTTATCAAATCGTTATTGTGAAGATGAGAAGGAGCTTCAGACTCAACTCAATGCATCACTTTTGATCGGATTGACCGTTAAAACAGTGGAGCAATGCCCTTCTCCAAACATTCTTTAGAAGTCAAAAAAATATGCCTATAAATTGATTATAGCGAGTTTGCCTCACCTCCTCTTCTACTTTTAACCATTAATGCAAAGTTAGTTCTAAAAAATGGGCCTCGGAGGAGAGCGAGCAAAGCATTGGCTCCTCCTGAAATCACATCCACTCAGTATACGAAAGTCTTTCAACTGCACCAGAATGCAGAAAAAGTTGAATTTCAAAAGTCTTTAACGAAGGCTGTTTACGACCTTCCAATTTTGTTAAAGAAATTCAGAGTAACAAAGAGAGTTGTACAAATGCAAATAGCAGAAATGATGCTCACCAAGGGAGGAATCATGGTGCTCCCGAAGACGAAGGCATCAAGCAAGCACAAAGTGAGCGACGACATTTCCCTTAGTCTACTACAATGCGCGAGAACTTTTAAAGCACTTGCAACTATTTGCTCAGACACTTGCAAAATGCGAAACCCACAGCACCCAAGACCAGAAGTGATGCCATATAACTTACCAATGGATCAATGCCTTCCGTAAAAAAACGAGTAAATGTTGTCGATAAATGCTTCATGCAAGATATTTACACGCTCTGATTGGAGAGCAATACAACCTTACTTTCTTCCCCATGTACTCCTCTAAGTATTCCTGCAGCTATCCGTCATCCTGCTGTGCGATGTGCCTATGGCGATCGCATAATCACCAGCATAATATGACATGGGAAAGTAAAATTAAGGTCAGAATAGGACGACTTGCCTCCACAACTTTGTACCATCGTAAAAACAATCATTTCTGCTTATTTACATATAAGTAACACAAAAAAAGCAACAACAGGAATTTACAAGTATCTCGCCTTCATGATAAATTAGAACAGGAATATACACAGAACATTGTTACAAAATAGTTTCTACATTAAATGCAGCAGCTGCATCAGTTACCCCCAACATTACTACGATGGTGCGTCAGCACTGGTGCTGGGCAGGGCAACGTCCTCATGTAACCATCGCCTTTCCAGATTCTTCAACTGCAGCTGCCTTCGCCTACATTTGGCAGAATCTGATGACAATACCATCTCCTGATTGTCATGTACTTGCATATCGATTTTTAGTAGCCTTGCGGTAGGCGATAAAAGGGCCAGTTCGGTATCCTCCTCTACAACCGTTTCGACCACACCGTCCACTTCTGAACACTCCATTGGCCAGTGTTCCAGCCATCGAGACCCCTTCAACAAACTCGGCAAGGGGATGTAGGCCGACCTCGCAGTTTTTATGAGATGGAGACAGGGTAAGCGCCATTGAAGATTGAAGGGACAACAACACTTTCTTGCCGCCAAATCAGGAAGAATGTCTGAGGATATTTTCGCAGTCTCGAGGTGAGCAAGAACTACTCCAGCCACTGGTTCGGATAAAAGGCGAAGAATGGCATTAACATCATCAGGTTGACCGGGGAAATCGTCTTTGCAGATGACCTCGTAGGAGTGTTTAGATGGAGTTGCAAGTTCAAGTAATCTCTTTGCGCAGGAATCGAGGCTATTGTCAGTTTTGAGAACTGATTCAAAGTGCTCCAAAGAGGAGGAGTTGCGATTTTCAACCCCGAATGTTAACTGATCAAGACGATGATGTTCGGCCCATTGCTCGACACAAGGGATCCAGATTTTGTTAATGATATTCCAAAAAGATGGCGAAGCGTTTGCGATCTCCTGAAGGGATTCTAAATAAGTCTCACTATCCGGAGTCTTTAGTGCGTTAAAAAAGTGCTGGAAAAGACCCTTCTTATCACAATGAATAGTTGAAAGGTCATCCATTTGATCCCTTACATAGCTAAGGACACTGTCTTGATAAAAGAGCATTCGAGCCTGAGGCAGTTCTTGAAGAATTTCATGTCGTTCGATAGAATTAATATCCACGAAGATGGTCTCAACTTCCTCCACTCTCGACTGCATTAGGTGTTTAAAAGACTGCAGTACAGAGGCAAAGGTGCCACAAACACCTTGGTCCAGCACAAAAGAAAACATCACGGTCTTGCTGGTAAGTTGACGGTCAACGATTGAGAAATGGTAAACTGAAAAGGCAGCTCCCGACAGTTCACGTATCAGAACCACTTCAGGATAAAAATGAAAATTTTTCACTAAATATGGAGCTGTAAATGATAACACACGATCTATGCCATCCTCGTCACTCAAAATTTCCGCATAGCCTGCACTACCCAAGGACTTTAGCGTCAAACCGAGGAGACGTCGAGCATTTTTTTTTGGCTGTAGCTTCCGCTTCAAATTTCGAACATCCGTTGTTGTTAAATATACGTGGAATGCACCTAGCTGTAAAAAATACATGTAAATATTTACTTTGGATGTATTCCTTTAGCGCGAATTCATGCTGGTGTTCCCTGAGCATATCCTTAATTATGGCTAGCTGTTGAGGATTAAGTCGGCGATTTCGGCGATAGACGTAGCCACAAGAACCAGAGACGGGATGGTTATGTCGCACGTCAAAACGAGAGATGTGCAACTGATTGTTGCGACAGGTAACAAATATAACTGACTTGCACCCAGTTCTGGACGATCTAGAGGCATAATATATGAGTCAGATCAAACTTGATAGAGGAAGAAGTACCTGCGGTCGGGTTTTGAAATACTACGATCCTTGCAATAGCCGAAATGAAGGCACTCGTATGCGAATTTTCTGTAGACCACGGATTGGTGTTCTAGGTCATCTTTAGGCCATGGACATGTATGTCTTTTTGCGTACATGCATCCCGTCTTCTGAGAGGAGCATATGAAGGAAAAAAGCCGAAATGCTTACAATCTGAAATTCCTCCATCTTATCTTCGAGTTCACTGAGCGATGAAAACACAAGCGATGGGAAGATCTCCATGAACTGCGTGGAATAATCAGTAATAACGATATATGCTGAAACATTAAGGTAATGCGAGGAAACCTACGCTCAGGCTTTGGCTTTTCAAGCGTTCTTTTTATAATTGCATGATTATGAACCATATGGAACTTCGAAACGTAGAGAAAGCCATTGCGACAGCCCACTGTGAAAGAAGCTTCACAACCAGTTCCGGTCCTGAGAATGAATAAAATCTATTGCCACTACCTGGGCTTACTCTCCGAGCAAACATATTGCAAAGATTTGTATACCAATGTGGCACGGCGAGGATGTTCAGTCGGAAAGAGGAAAGTACGTTTGAAAATAAATCTTAATCCCGTAAGCTACAAAAGTAGGGGTAAGGAGTAAAACTAGGCCGCCCATACCTCTTGGAAATCGTTAATGACTTTTTCAAATTCTAGGTAGTTTGAAAAGCCTCTACCTGAAAAAATCTCTGTAAACGTTTCTGTATAGTCCATCGGATAAGGATATATACATACAATCAGTGAAGCAAACTGACAGAAGATCACGCAATTTTGAAGAGGGGAGCGATAACGAGCATATTAAAATAAATATTTTTGATAAATTAATGTTGAAACTTCGAATGATATACATATTGATGGCCATATGATCCACAGGGCATACAATTTAATATGGTATAGGAATTAAAAATTCTTGCTCGAATTCGTGCTTTAGCTCATATTGACTATTAATTGGCGTTTATGGACTGTCGATGTTAAATAAATCATGTAAAACAGTAATTAATATAATCACAATCAAGTACTGACGAGCGACCGAAGACAATGAACCACTGAAATCCAGCCAGCTGAACTTCGGTACATGACAAATCTTGACTTCTTCTAATTAAAGTATGGTATTAAGTATATATGAATACGAATAATCAAGGAGAAAGGAATAGGTTAGCACTTTGCATTACTCCAAGGCCGTCCAAGTACACAAAAGCAAACAAGCCAAGGTTCCTGTAGTACATTTTGATCCGACCACTTGAGACAAATCAGTTTCGTTTGTATTCGTTTTGTCCTAATATGTCTGGGCTGGTTTATGTCCCAAGAATATGCAGCTTACTGTTCTGTTCGACTTTGTAAAAGGCCTCAGAACACTACAATGACAATCAGTGCCATAAGATGTCGAAGTAACGAAGCGTTGCATTGTCTCTATCATTTTGGCTGACAGCATTGTCATTCCCCGCACCCCATCCCCACACCGCAGATCATAACCCATCTGGTGATATATTAAGCCACAAACTATGCGGCCACAGCAGCCATCAGATCTGATGTGAGTGCGAGTGTTCGTTTGGTCTAGATAGCAGTTTGCCTGAAAGCAGGAATGATTGTATGAAGGATGCTGTATTGCTTTGTTTATATAGCTGCCTGATGTTTGGCTCTTCCTTTATAGTTTGTCTGACTCCTGTATATCTGAGCTGGCCTTCGGACCATTCCCCATTCCCATTTAATCCGTCGTCTGCACTCACCGACTCCTTTTACCGGCTAGGAAGCCTCGAGACGCTGCACTGGTGTCAGCGAAAAGCAAACCCTACGTTTTTCAACGGCTTTTAGGTGTAAAGTGCTTTTGAAGACCTTCTGCTCCAGCCGAGTTGGGGTTTCTCTCTGTGGCTTTATCTTCGTTGGTTGTGTGTTAAAAATCCATTGTCCAGCAGACACCGCTGTCTTTCTGGTGTCCTACGTTTGTGTTGCTATACTTCGCCAATTAATCCGGAAAAGAGTAGTACGAACAAGCCCATGAGCAAAGGTTCGATCGGATGATGCAATGGTTCAGTACCTACAAATCGCATGGGGTCTGGAGATGTTTGTGTAGCTTTGAGCCTGATAATCTGTTGGACTTCAAAATCGGGTTCCCTTAGCTAGAAATCCGAAAACTCTCTTTTCACGAAAAAAGTTAATAATCCAAACAGTAGACAAGACTGCAAAGGATTTCAATTTTTTAGTAGAGAAATCCATGATTAATAGCGTATTTTGGCCTTGTACACCGGCCAAAAGCAATAGGGATGTGAATTGAAGTAGGCGCGTGAGATGTATCAAAGGGGAGTGCCGGGGACGCCGCTCTAAAGAAGAGAGGAGCAGTGCAAGTCTTTTTTAGGTGACCACCTGATGTTTGGTTGCCACTTAAGGGTTCATCTGGTCCTTGTACACGTGGGTTGGCCTTCGAGCCATGCCGAGGCCCATTTGTCCTGTCGTCTTCAGAATACATGTATCCAGTTGCACTTACTGACTTCTCAAACCGGTCAGGAGGTCTCGGGACGCTACGAGTGGATGGCTATATTTAGGGCCAATATGCCGATGGCCTTGCACGTGTATATTTCTTTTGAAAATTTCACTATTTTACCATTACTTGTTGAAAGTCCTACTGTTGACTCTAGAGTTATTCATCAGCCTTAGATTTATTTTTAATTGTCGATTATTTATACACTAGGAGTTTTTTATTTTCATAACTTGCCCTTCTAAGTTCTCTAATTGTGCTTCCTTGCCATCGCCTTGTTATCCAAGTGGTGAAAATTCGCCCATGTGTTCATTTTCATTGTCGTCGTTATTGACGATGATCTGCTACTTGCGTACTAAATTAACTTTATTGCAGTACACT